ATACTTGTCAACCAACGCAGTTATGGCTGCTGAGTTGAACTTGGGCAACCCACGACGAACCTAAAAAGAGATGACATCCAGGCCAGCTCTTTGCAGGAAAGGAGTGTACCTGTCGTCGTACCGCATGTCCAAGAACCCACTGTGGGTTCTAGGACGAAGGAGCGGAAGGTCCTGCATTGAATAAAACATAGTCTCCTGTTACTTCACGAACACATGTACGCTCACCAAATTTTGAACAAAACTTATAGATCATTACCTGCCCTAGCGCTATGAGACGTCCTCGGTGGGTCGCCTCGTACGTCGGGTCGAGCAGGTGGAATTGCTCCATCCTACAAAAAAAGTGAATGAATTAGAATTTCAATATGCAATGAAACATGAACTTAGAAATGTATAAGTAATTGACACAAATACAAGCTTAAAAAGAGACATGCATAATTAATTAAATGAAGACGACAAATATAAAATAATAAAATGAACCAATAGTCCTACCTCACTAATCTGCCAATGGCAACTTCGTGAATTGTGGCCAAGTCTACCGCACTTGCCGCACTCATACTGCTCGGGGTTAGTAACAAATGGAGTTCCTTTCCCACGCCTCGTTCTTTCGGGTATCTGATCCATAACCATCATGTGCCTCGTCCTCTGCCTTGATCCACGCTTGTTCCAACGGTAAGCTGGATCCGCAATGTACTTCGGCCCATCATATGGAGGCCACTCTCCAGGGTCCTGGAAAGGCACGAAGCGGGGGCTCCATGTGTGCACAAGCGTGTCGACACTAAACTCGTGAGGTATCCTCCTCTTGATATTATAGTTGCGATGCCTAGCTGCTGCCCCAAATGAGAACATAGAAAGTGGTACTGCCTTGGTTTACCACAAATGCACTTGAAATCTTGGAGGACAACCACATGTATCCTCGACTCTCGGACCTCGCCGTCGGACGTTGTACCGCCCCTATGCTCGACCTGATAAGTCCCTGTGGCGTGGTCAAAGCATGCAACCTCATGTGTGCCAGACCTTTCTCTTGCCTTCTTTAGGTGTGCCTTTGGTTTCGGAGCCCATATCTCTCCATCACTCCGCAACTGCAATGCATGGGCGTGTCTATCGTTGAACCAGGCAACAAGCTTATAGAAGGTGAATTGAACGATTGCATTCACGGGCATACCACGTATCCCCAATAGCAACTTATTGAATGACTCTACCATGTTGCTGCACTGAAACTCGTACCTCCATCCACCAGCGTCGTGAGCTCTCGTCCATTTCTCCAAATCCCTCATCAAACCTGTGAGCCATTGTCTACCTTCTGCATTTGATGTGGTTCTGACCTGCTCCAATTTTTCCTTAAAGTACTTGTCCTCAAGCTGTCGAGCAACCTCCTGGAACAGATCAAAGTTACCCTTGACACCATCCTTCCGGAGTAGATTCTCGGCAAGGTGCCGAGTACACCAACGATGGTGCAAAGGTGCATACCCCTCTATCTGCTCTTGCACGGCATTAAGTATGCCCTGATGCCTATTAGATATGACGACAACCTCCCTGCCAGGCCCAACCACGTGTATCCAGACTAGCCTCAAGAACCAACCCCAACTGTCATTGTTCTCCTTCTCAACCAAAGCAAATGCCAAAGGAACCAACTTGTTGTTCGCGTCATAGGATATGGCTATAAGAAGTGTGCCCTGGTATTTGCCAATCAAGAACATACCATCAATGGAGAAGACGGGACGACAGTGCCTAAAGGCCTCGACACACTGAGGGAAGCACCAGAAGGCACGGTAGAATATTTGCCTCCCATCCTTCCATGCATTATGTTTTGGGATGTACTCATAATGCATGCCTGGATTCACCGATTTGATTGCATTGAAAAGAACAGGCAGCTGCTCATACCCATCCTCCCAGTCCCCATATATCATCTTCCACGCTCGCTGCTTAGCCCTCCATGCTTTACCATAAGTTATCACATATCCTCCACACAAGCCTCAACGGTCCTGATAATTGTCCTCACTTTCATGTTGGGTTCTCCCTGCAAAATTCCCATCAACCGCTTGGCAATGAGGGTAGATGTCAACTGTCAATGCCTCAGTGTCAGCTCATGGTCAGCACAATTGTGTGGCCCGACAACTTTTGTGATCTTCCATTTTCCGGTTAGCTGTTGCTTCCTTGCACAAACCCTCCATGGGCAGCGTTCCTTGTCACACACAACTATGTAACGGCGCTCTGTATATGAATGCAATACTCTGTAAGGCCTCTTTCGTACCACTGCAAAAGCCTGCAACCACCTCTTCAAAGTAGGGAGGTCATTGAACACACTCTCATTCTCAATTACCATGTTAGGACCGGCCTCAAGAGTTTCTAGGAGCTCATCATCACGTCCTTCTGCAAACGCCTGATCGGAATGAGCAAGATCGCTGAACTCGTGAACTCTAGGATCATGGCGGCCGAGAAAGATACGCCTCATCATCTCAACATCACTCTCCGTCAGCTCTCCAATAGGGCGATCATCATTAGAATCAAGAGCCCTAGCCATCTCATATGGCTCTGAATCATGCATAATTTCAACACTATTGGAGCCACGGAATCCATCTCCAAAATGCACTTGCGCAGCAACAGGGGGCACATCCAAATTCTCAGGAATGTCTCCTGCAACATCAGTACAGAAATGAGGAAAGAATGAAAGAAATAGATGTAAGGAACGGGGTAAGCTCTCAAAAAACTATGCGGTTAAGACACTTACTCGGATGATTCTGTGTCAAAGGGATCTCATAAGGAGGATCTGCCACGGAAACATGAGTCTGACAACCATCTCCAAATACCGCATTGGGGGTAGATTGAGCATCGGGAACCGTAGGTGCAATCTGCACATGCAGGTAAGGTTCCGGAACGGGAGGGTCGATGTGTGCCTGATGATCCATTGCTAGGGTAAACCCATGAGGGACAGGATCAACTAACACCCGACGCACAACCACGTCCAAACATTGCAGTTGGCTCTTCATAGCCGATCCCACATAGTTTTCCCACTGATCTGCACAACCAATTGAGATCATTCGCCTGAAGATGTTCGGAGGAGAACTTAAGTGCAGTACACCATCAACTGCAATGCCATCATCTCCAAGGCAATGCAGCTCCTCCCGAGCCCTTGCAACCATCTCACTAAATGAAGGCCTATCATTGAATAGCACAGACACGCTTTGCATGTCAAGAAACTCAACATATCCATAGCGATCGCTTTCAACGGTGCCTCCATGATATATGGTCACTAGGTTGTCCATCTAATTCAAACAAGTAACGAAACACATGTTCTTTAGTCCAAATTAGACGATAGATAGTACCTAACAAGTACTTTGTAACTACAAACTAAGTAATCAAGATAATAACTACGTATATATTTACAGTGTACTCACTAAATAGCTAGATCATATGTAGTTAACTAAAAATGTAACTACATATCTAAGTAGCTATCTAACTATATCTATGTACCTATGTATCTATGTTTCTATCTATCTACATATATATCTCACAAGATCACTAACTAAATCAACTACCTGAGTCATCACATTAACTCGTAAATAACAAATGCCAACTAAGTAGGTACATTGCATATTCATAATTTTTACCTTTCCGGTCCGGTGGACGATGGGCGTGGGTCAGGCCGAAGATCCGGGCCGACGGTGGCACGGCCGGCCGTTGCAGGTCGCGTGGTCGGCGGTGGCGCGGCCGACGACAGCGGTGGCGCGCGGAGGGCGCGGGATGCCCGGGGCTCCGCGCGACGAGTCTGGCTTGACGGGCGCGGGAGGCACACCGGCGGTGGATGGCGGCAAGGCGGGGTGAGCCGGCGGTGGAGGGCGGCAAGGCGGGCCGCGCCCGAGGCCGACGGTGGAGGCCAAGGCGAGGACAGCGGTGGAGGGCGGCGGAGGCGCGGCGCGGGGCGGGGGAGGGGGGGCGGCGCGGCCGCAGGGCGTGGGCCGTCCGCTGGGAAGCGGCGCGGGGTGGCCTCGGGGCACGCGTGCGGGCGCGGCGCGGCGCGGGCGAGGGCGGACGATGGAGGCAAGGGCGCGGGCGGCGGCGGCGGCGGAGCTCAGCTATCCTAGGGCGAGAGAGGGAGAGGAAAGGCGCGGGCCCAATAGGTATTAAAGGCTCGGCGCCATAGTGAATGGCGCCGAGCCCCTGGCAGGTCATCCACCGTGCCCAGGAGCTCGGCGCCAGAGACGCTGGCGCCAGCATCAATGGTGCCGAGCTAAGGGTCTATTTTGTGAATTCTTTCCGTCAGGGGTCTATTCGTGAGAAACTTTTAAAAAAAAGACTAAATTGTAAAAAATTCGGTGGTCGTTGCCTGGTCGCTACTATACAACGTGGCCCCGTGGTGAGCCAAGTTTGGCATCCACGTTTACACAATTTTACAGTGGTGACTCATGTTTTTTCGTGAACGCAAGTCTCATTTATTTGTCATAGATTTCACCACCATACAACTGAATACGGTTTTGAGTGACTTGATTTTGAATACTTCAGACGATCAGCTTCAAAATATATAACCGAAAGTTGAATTCAGAAATAACTTGTTAATTGGAGGCCAATCCGGACATATATAAACAACTAAACAGCAACATATAAATAGCACGGTTCTTGATAATCACATTACAATACATTATATATATAATACAGCAGACATGAGCACTCGACTTCCATGACTGATCGACAAACACTGATCTATATATAGGTGCTGCGCTGATACTGATACTAGGTGGTGATCGAGACGCAGACATCTCTAGGGGTTAACTCCTAACACACACCTTCCCAAAATTGGAGCCCCGTTGATGGTGTGAGACTAAGGGAGACACACTATCACTAGTTTGCAAGAAACGAAACCCTAGGCAAAGGCAGGCACGAACGAACCGACGATCGAGAAGAAGCAAACTTAGGGAAGACCACACAGACACAGACAAAGAACGCGTGACGTGACGTGACAAAGCATAATCGGTTCTTGTTGCACGCGTCGGCGGCAGGATGGATCAGGCGGTGCGGGGGATGGCCGCGGCGGCGAGCGGCGTCTTCATCTCCAGGGAGAGCTTGAGGACCTCGTCGAGGCAGACGGGCGTCGCGCCATCAGGCAGCGCCCACTCGAAGGCGTGCACGAGGCGGGCGACCCAGAGGCCCACGGTGGTGAGCCCCAGGTTCTTGCCGGGGCAGACGCGGCGACCGGCGCCGAACGGGGCAAGGCGGAGGTCGACTCCGCGGACGTCCACGTCGGCGCCGCCCTCGGAGGGCAGGAACCGCTCCGGCGCGAACGCGTCCGGGTCGGCCCACACGGCGGCGTCGTGGGTGATGGCCCACATGTTTACCATCGCCGTGGTGCCGGCCGGGACCACCATGCCGTTGGAGAGGGGCACGTCGGCGGTGGCGAGGCGCGCCCAGCTCAGCAGCGGGCCAGGCGGGTGGGCGCGAAGCGTCTCCTTCACGACCGCCTGCAGGTACGGCATGCGCGCCACGTCGGCGTCGGTGGGGCAACCGCCGGCGCCGATGGCTGCGTCCACCTCGGCGCGCACCCTCGCCTGCACCGCCGGGTGACGCACCAGCTCCGCCATGCACCACTCGGTCAGAAGCGCCGTCGTGTCCGTACCGCGGAAGATCATCTCCTGAAAAAACAAATCATATGTACTCTATTTTCAGCGACGGACACAAAAGCTTTGCTCCTTTTTCCCTTTCGGGAACAACCGACACAAAACTGTAGATCCGAGAAGTATGCCGTTGAACAAGCTAGGAAAGCGATCGATTTGAGGTTTACCCAGAGGATGGCGACCATGTCGTCGTCCTGGAGCTTCTCGTCGCCGTCGAGGGAGAGAAGCACGTCGATGAAGTCAGCATTGTCGTCGACGGCTGCGGAGTATTGGCAGCGGCGCCGGTGCTCGTCGATGACGCCACGGACGAAGGTCTGGACGCGCGGCACGAGCGCGGCGCACCGGCGGGTGACGTTGCTGGGGTCGTACAGGTGGGCGAGCCAGGGGAGGTGGTCAGACCAGTTGAAGGCGCCGAGGAGCTCGAACCCCTCGCGCACCATGCTCTTGAGCTGCTCGGCCTCCGTGGCGCCGGCGCCGGATGTGACGTTGTAACGCGTGCCGAAGACGCTCCCCATGATGTTGTTGAGAGCGGCGGCCTGGAGGTGCAGGCGGAGGACGACCGTGCCAGTGGCGGCCTGCTCGGCGGCGACGGACTGGAGCATGGCCTCCGCGTCGCCCTGGCGTCCTGGTTCGTGCGCGGCGACGCGGCGCGGGGAGAAGAGGTGCGTGGACGCGACGCGGCGGAGGCGGCGCCAGTACTCGCCGTTGGGCGCGAACCCGATGGCGCGCGTGAACATGAGCTCCCGCGCCGACCGCTTCACGGGGCGGTCGGCGAAGGACGGGTGCGCGAGCACCTCACGCGCCGTGGCCGGGCACGACGACACGACCGCGGGCGTGTCCCCGACGGAGAAGGCCATGAGCTCCTTGGCCCGGGGCCCCGCGGCGCGGGCCATCACGGCGAGGGCACGGTGCGGCAGCCCACGGGACAGCGCGAAGATGCTGCCGAACACGGGGAGACCGCGGGGCCCCACGATAGGAGTGGCACCGAGGCGGCCGCGGCCGTGCGCCCATGCCGGCCCTCCCGGCGACGCGGCCCACGCCAGCAGAGCCGCCGTGACGGTGGTCAGGAAGAGCAGGCCGGCCAGGAGGGCCGGGTGGGCGCACAGGGTGTCCGAGCCGAACAGCGCCGGGAGCGCGTACACCCACCACGTGCCGTCCGTGCACGTGGAAGCCGCGGAGGCCACCGCCATGGGCGAGGTGAGGTGTTCTGGGTAGCCGCTTCTAGTGGCTGCTACCTATGCCTTGCTTTGAGATGATGAGTGTGGAGTGAGTGAATGGGTGAGGAACTTTGGCTACCGGAGTTGGGGTATTTATAGAGAAATGGGCTGTTTTTTTTTTTTTACAACAGGGTTTTTGCTTGTTGGGTGGCCTTGGGCTCTTGGCTTCTCAGCACACAAAATCTGTTTTTGCTCCTGCGGAAACTGTACGTGTGAACCTTTTTTTTTTCTGCTAACATGAATGTGACCATGCCTTGTATTCGACAATTCCGATATTAACACTGCTATATAAACAATTTTAAAGGCACGCTTTTTTTTTCTACTACAGATGGTTGCCATTTTCCACGTTTCTACAGATCCAAATAGATGTACCTAAAAGACTACTCTCCCTAAAAATGAGATGAGTTTTCCAAAGTGTCTCACGGTACCACTTCACCAAGGAATAGATCATTTTTAAGCAGAGTACTTTATTGAACGACTCAATCAGTCTATTCGCTGGTTCGATAAGCCATTTGTGCTGGTTTATACGGCTAATTTGTTGTGAGAGAAAAACATTATACCATAACTGATAAGCCCTGGCTGAAACAAACAAACGAACATGCTGAATGAAGTATGTTAACAAGAAAAGATTGTATGATGCTAGAGGTTTTAATCAACAAGCTGCAATCAAATCCTCTAGAATTCACACCTTACAAACTGCACTCGAAAATCATTTTTTAGGATGGCCTATAATATCATTTGATCTTAGAAATCAATTTCAAGCGGCACACATGCCTCTACAAATGCCTTTCTTCTAGAGGCGCTAGCGTAGAGGCATTTGCGAATTCTGCCTCTAGAAATTGAATTCAACCACCTTAAAAAAGGGTAATTTTTTTGAATCATAGTAGACACAGAATGCTTTACCTCAATGTATGCACGCACACACTGTATCCCTACAAGAATTTGTATAAGACTAACGAGATTGACGAAATCACGGCGTCTCGCTGTTGACCGGCACATCGCCTACCACTGGAAACAACAACGTCGTTAAAAATGTGAGCACCTATGTCAAATCGAAGACCTCTTCATTCTCCTCACGCCTACCACAAATTCAACCACAAGAAAACTAACCATCATGAACATTCTACGTAGTAGATTTTGACATTCTGACATTTGTTGGAATTTTGTATATTGGTTACAGTGACACCTTTATATCGCACCTACCATGGTGACTTCGTTGATCATAAAATCCATCAATACGTTACTTGTAGGATTTCACATGATTCGTCAATAGGAAACACATGAGTACATGGCAAGATATATGCTTAATTAGAGCATCTCCAAGAGATCAAGTAAGTCATTTTCTAAAGATAAATTTGGCTATTATTAGAGAGAAAACGTCACCAATAAACTCTATAAATGATTCTCCAAATTTAGTAACTCTTCATCCCACCGCATTCGCTCTCTACTTTTGGATAGCCTAACTCACTAGCCATCCACACTACTACATAAACGATTTTAGGAGGTAGTGCCCAAACATTAATGGAGGTGGGCACAAAATCCAACCACCTCCTAAAATGCCAGACTATTAACGGAGGCGGTCATTTTCATTTACCGAGGCAATCACAATTAACCGCCTCGCAAAATCGATTTACGGTGGCGGTCACAAAATAATCATCTCCTAAAAGGCCTGCCTCTGTAAATCATGGCCGAGCCCACTCCCAACCAGGAAAGCCCATCTCGGCCTAGAAATCTGGTCGCAGTATATATGACCTTGAAACCCTAGCCCCAACCAAATCCACTCTTTCTCTCCCTCAGCGCCTCTCTCTCAGTCTCTCTATCTCTTCTCTCTCTCACCTCTCTCGGCACACAACGCTGCGAGTCCCAGGTGGCGGGAGTCGTGCCCCTAGCAGCGAGGGTCTGCACGCCCTAGACGGCGGACGACCCTGGCGCGGCAGAGGCACCTGAAGGCGGAGTTCCTAATGCAGCGGAGGGCCCTGGCGGCGAGGGACCTCCGCGGTGGGCGTGGATGACGACGGGGAGGTCGCGTAGGCAACCTCGGTGGTGGATCTAAAGCGGGCGCTCGCGGGGGCCCTCTCGGCGGTGGATCTGAACTGGAGCATGTCGTGGAGGTCACGCCACAACGGAGGCGGTGGATTTGCGGTGAGGAGGCGGATGACGGATCTAGCGCGAGGCCTCCCCATCTCCACCAGATCCAGCTGCAGGGGCTCCACCGACGGCGCCTCCAGGTGCAGATTCGGCGGCAGCAGCGCATCCAGGTGCGAATCCGGTGGTGGCGGATCCAGGACGGCGGCAGTGTGGCTGGGCTCGATGTCGGGCCCATATTGGCTGGCATCGAGCTCGACTGTTTTTTTTTTTATTATTTTAATTCAATTTACGGAGGCGGGCAAATCAACCGCCTCTGTAGGTTCCGGATTAACCGTGACCTTTGATTGGAGGCAGTTGCAATGCCCGCCTCCAGAAATGAAAAACACCCGCCTCCATTAGATTTACTGTACTAGTGCCAGTCTCTTGGTTTTACAGAGTGTGTTGGAGTACTTAGTATCTTTTTGTCAAATCTATTTTAGAAAGTAGCTAAAGTAAATTTGGCTAGTCTTTTTGGCTAATCTCTTGGAGATGCTCTTATCATCGCCCGCTAAATTAGAGCTCTACATATATAGTAAACTCTAAGAGCTTGTTCGACTGCACTTATATTCACAATCTATATGCTTTGAGTTGGTCGACCAGCTCGGTGAACCGATCCACATACTCAACGACAGTGGAGGTTTGGCAGATGTTACAGAGTTGCCGGAGAATAAGTTCATGCTGGTCACGGCTGAAACGTTCATGGATCAAGGCACAGAAGCCGGACCAGTTGAGATCCTTGAGAAGATGTTCGACGGACTGGAGCCAACGGCCCGTAGCCCCCTTGAATTGCATAGTGGAACAGCGAACCCACACGCTAGGATCAACGAAATACATTTCAAAGTAAGTCTGGGCTTGCGTAATCCAAAGCTGGGCATCATCACCATAGAAGGGTGGGAAGTCAAATTTCGGAAGCTTGCCAGTGGGGACATGATGAGGTGACGATGGAGATGGGAAGGTGGATTGGAGGGTGGAAGGCGCTTGAGCCGAAGAGGAATAGTAAGGCTGAATTTGGTAGTGAGGTGGAGGGTAATAGTAATTGAACTGAGGATCAGAGTGAGTAAGAGATTGACTCTGGTGCTGTAGTGGCGGACTGTGGTGGGGAATGGGTGGGGGGGGATGGTGGATTGGTAGATTGGAATGGAGATTGGGTGGATTGGGATGCCGAGCTCGAGAACGGGTCAACAACGATACGAGTACCGGACCGACGAGGGCCGGTTAAGTAGCAGTAGAATAATAGAAATTAGTTTGATGTTTACAAGCTTATCTCTCCTTCTCGCCTTAGCGCTGCACAGCTGATGCTTGCCCATTGTGGGCCGAAGACTCGAGAGCTCCTGGGCCGGCGTCGTTTACTCCTTCGAGGCCCATTGTCTTGAGATGCCTCAGGTGGAAGGGTGCTGACAGACACAGTATCATAATAGCGTGTTCTTATCCAGAAAATGCACACCTGGCACCCCATAGCCCGCGACACGTCACCAATCCAGTTACGCCCATCAATCGATCTAAAGAAGTGATCTGTATATGTATCTGTACCCTAAAATACTTGCAACAGTTACTTCAGCCCGATGCATACAGTCAGCTCTTGCTTTAGTTTATCAACAATTATGGAGGTGACCATCAGTACTACTTAGGGTATTTAATCTAGCGTTCTACAGCTTGCCACGTAAGTAAGATGTTGCAGCAGAGAAAACCATGCATGATGCATGCACATATATACGTATGTAAGCCCTTGTTTAGTTCCTCCTAAACTCCCAACTTTGGCACTATGTAAAAAGAAGATTTTCCGTCACATCAAACTTGCGGTACATGCATGGAATACTAAAAGTAGACGAAATTAAAAACTAATTGCACAATTTGGTTGTACTTTATGAGACGAACATTTTGAGCCTAATTAATCAACGGTTGGACAATTATTACCAAATACAAACGAAATGCTACAGTAGAGAATCTGGCACTTTGCACATCTAAATTCCAGCCAACTAAACGCGCCCTAAATAGTCGTTCTTAATTGGCTATGTTGTCATCAGATACAGCATGACCTCACCGATACATATTTTTAGTTTACCAGGCTATTTTTTATACACCGACAGCGTAGTAGTGATATGTTCCTTCTGAGTGTCCCTGTCAATGGTTCTAAACCAGTTCGTGTTTTTTTTTTAATCAGCGGGTGTAATAACACACAGAACATACACCACAATGTATGGAGCGTTAACGTTACCCTACTCAAGGATGAAAACGCAACGGAAATATCCCGAACCGAACCGCATCGTTTTTTATATTTAATCCGATCGAATCCGTATTTTCTTGTCCGACTTTACCGTTTTCGCTTTCGCATTTGAGATGTTTCGTATTTCAAATGTAAAAGTAGAAAACGGTTTACACATTTTTCGACCGTTTTCTACTTTTCTACTTTTAATTTGAAATATTCCGAATTCAAAATTCGGTTTAAACCGAATTTGGCCAACTGCACAGGTCATACAGCCCAATTACAGGCTGCTCACCACGCAACTGCGTTCTTTCTACTGGTGGCTAGCTGTCCTCTCTTATAGACGACGCCCAGCCTCATCTCTCTTATTATGTATTTGGTCGTGCACTTGTTTAATGCTATGCACTTGAACTAGATCATGCACTTGTTAGTTGTGAACTTGTTATGTATTTGGTCGTGGTCGTGCACTTGTTTAATGCTATGCACTTGAACTAGATCATGCACTTGTTAGTTGTGAATTTGTTATGTATTTGGTCGTGCACTTGTTTAATGCTATGCACTGTGGGTCGGTATTTCGTATTGAATTTTCGCATACCGACCGTGTTCAACATAATTCCGCTCGAATTGGTTCGCTTCAAAATTC